TCGTGTTTTTTCATATTCGTGTTTTTTCTCCATATTGCTTATTTTTTCTTTTTTTCCTCGAATACAAACGATCTTTTAAGGGCTGCTTTTTTTTCTTCTTACCTTCTATTTTCTTTCTCAATTTCTCTCAATTGTTTATTGCTGAAGATAAGCTCTTTGTAAGTTAGAATAATTCAAAGATCGATTCATTTAAGCGTCCTATTGCATCGATGAGGGAATTGTAAATTAGTAATCTTATATTTTCAGTGTTTTGTTCGAATTGATTAGAAATCTTCAAGATCTTTCGCGTGACACGTGACGCATGCTTTATTTTTTCTGCTATCTCCTTTCTCATTTGCGAACGCAAAAAATTGCGTAAAACATTAAATCATGCGTTGACGTAGTTAATAGATGTAGACACTTCAGTTTGCTATTCACGTTGCTATTAGCTGCATCGACCATTGGTCGCCGTATGTCGCACGTATTATATTACTGTGCATCGCACATTATAGAAGTAATGATTGTAACAGCAACGTGCATGTTATGTAACATCGTGACGATCCTGTTTCACGTGACGTTCGAAACGTTCACTGAATTCTCTATCTGTCTCCACTTACTTCACTTCGATTATGTACAATTATAAAACCTATTCTTGTCGCATTAGGTACGACGCACTCAACTACAAGGCTAAGTAACTTGGCGAAGCTGTTATCTAAAGTACTAGGTCATTGCATACAAAATGTTTGTTTCAAAAGTTTTACAGTACACATTCGCACAAATGTTTCGCGATAACCAGGTATTGCGTGTTAAAGCGATATAATTTTTGTGCAAAAAAAACCTTTCGTTTTATTTTTCGTGAAAAATTCGCAATTTTTCAAGTCAACAATAAATTCGAGAAAATGTGAAAAAAATTAGGAAATTCGTACAACATTCCTCTTTATGATTTTAAAGTAAGATATGATATAAAAACATGCGAAAAAAGATTTTTTTTTAACTTTTAGAAGAAAATGCCGGCGGGCTTTTAAATGAATTCTTACAGTTTGGAACAAACTTTTTTTTTAGATTAAAAATTTAAAACTTCTCGATTTTAAAGGCGCGCATATGTACAAAATCATGCACACAAGCTCGAAGTGCGCATGTGGACGCATTCTTTTCCAGCAAAAAGAGGGAGAAAGAAAGAGATAAAAAGAAAGAAAGGTGCTTAAAAATATATGCCAGAACTACTGGATATCTTTTCAGCACGTTTTCTGCTATGTACAATACCGGAGAGAAGGGGAAGGAACACATCGAACATTAACCGCAGTTTCTTCGCTCAATTTAGAAACATATTTTCGCGACAAAAATATCGAAGATTTTTACCAATCATTGCTTTTCTACATTACAAAAGCGACTGCATTATGTTTGCGTAATCAGAGAACGTATCGTCAGAGAATGATAACCCTAACGAAATATCGGAGGCCTGTAAAGACAATCTTGTCGAAACACACGGACTTTAATCGTCGTTGATAAATAATTAATGCAGAAGGAAAAACAAGAGAATTTTATGCACAAAGTTTACACGTATATACAACGTTCGCGGCTTTTATCAAAAGGCTTTTACGAAAATCCGTCGAGACAGACAATCCACCGGATAGACGATATAATCGGGAATATATATATGTTTATATCGTTGTTTAGTTTATTGAGCAGATTCGAGTAATCGATAAGACTGATTGAATTACTCGGACAGGGTTATCAACGTCAGAAATGCCATAAGTTCATTAAAAAGAACCGGATCTCATTCAGTATCTATAGACAAAACTGGATTTTTTTTAACAAGAATCGTTCTCTCCAATCTTTTTGAAATTTACAAATGTTGTAATGTATAATTGGTAAAAAAGAAACAAAATATATACAATAAATCTTATTCGCGTGGTGCAAACTTACGTCATTATTGCGACATAAAAAATATCGTTTACTTTCTATTCGAATGGTTCATTGCTTTTCTCGCGATAATGCAAATATACACAACGCATCATACTCACAATGCGCAAAGCATTATTCCTGTTAGAAAGAAAATTGTCATCAAGAACTAGGAAAAGATATCGCAAGATAATTAGAGATAACTCAGGAAGGAAATAACTATCAGAATAGGATGATTTAACAAATAATAAAAAGCATAGCGAGAGAATTTATTTTCTTCATCATTTAAACACAGGTTTATATAAAATTTTATAAAATGGAGAGAGAGAGAGAGAGAGAGAGAGAGAGAGAATTAGCATTAAACAAATTTTTTCTTGAAAAAAAAAAACGAATTGAAAAACGAATAATGAATACAAATTATATACTTACGATTATAGAAATAAAATCATTCGATTACAGTTTTCCTTCCTATAAATACATATTCATTACATTTATATGCATAAAACATTGTCCTTTTATTGTATTTATTCTTTGTTCAATGTGTGCTTCTCTATAATTAGATAAGCATATGAAAAATGTCGAAACTAAATTGCATCGATAACTGGCAACTAAGTAGACGCTATCTTATCGATCGTGCCCGTCATCCGGCTTGTGTTTATTGACAAAAGAGACACATTAGCTTAGGAAGTTTAATACCTTAGTATAAAGTAATCTCTTTCGCAGAATCACAGATAACGACGCTGCTACGCGTAAATTGCAACACGTAGATTTCTAAAGATTGAATCATATGATTCTTGTTATGTATGATCGCCAGAATTAAAAAAATTCTAAATTAAAAATTACAAAATAAAGCTAAATATTTATTATATTTATCATATTGATATTATATGTAATTTTATCATTTATTACCTAATATATGTTTATATTACGTATAACTTCTTACGCCGTTAAAAATACGGAGCTGAGAAAGATCATATAAAAAAATAGAATCATCAAGTTAACAAGAATTGACACATACTGAAGAAAAAAAAGAAATTAATTCTCTAAAAGAAATTCAAATATATTATATTCAAAATAAAATAGATGAAAAGAACGAGATAGCTTGCGTAGTAGTAGGTAGCAGTATATATTTTCGTCTCTGAAAGGAGAGACTTGGTGACGTCACCAGCGAGGGATTGAACGGGCGAGCCCCCGGGGTCGACCAATCGCGATCCGACTTTCGCTCCCACATGTTTCAACTCACTGGAACGTTGCGTCATCCTTTAAAAGATCCGTCTGGAGAGCAATGAATTTCATCATAATATAATCTCTTTCTCAATTTTGATAAAAAAAAAAAAATTCTTTAATATTAATTAAAGTTATGATCAATATAGGTCTGTCATCTGATGATATTAACCCGAATTTATCCAATATTTTTTCACTCATAAGTATAATACAGACTGATTCAAATTAACAGAACTTTTATATAATGACTGCTTTAAAATTGCTGTAGAAATAAATTTTAGATCGATTTGTATATATATATGTATACCAACAAATAATATTCAATTTTAATGATTTTTCTATCTGAATTAAAAATATTAAGTTACTTCCATTTATTTCGCCGCGACTTATACAATCAATGATAAAATTAATAATACAATTTTCAAAATCGTTAAAATCACTTTCCACATGAATGATTCATAAAATCATTCATAAAGTACAAAAAATTTAAGGCGACTCAAGAGATGGAAATAATATATTCTTTATCATATGTTTAACTAATCAATGAAATTATATGTAATTGAGTATCGGTTGGTCAATCAATTTAGAAAATAATACGGGAAATACCCATTTCAGAAAAGCTTTGATCCATTTGCCCTTGAGGACGAGCCTCCACCTTAACATCGAATGCATGCGAGGGGAAAGTCACCCTTCTTTCTCTGCTGCCATTGCCACCCCACTCACTCTTCCACCACTAACTGATTTGCCGCAGTGCCGGCTTATTACATTAGAAACTGAGCGACCTCTATTTTTTGCGATGTTGACAAAAGTCTTCATGCAATTTGAAAAATACAAATAAAAAGGAATATATTTTACAATAAATAATAATAAGATTGAAAGACCGCTAATGTTAACTACAATACTTAAAATTAAGAAGCGCCATAAGAGCGTTAAGATGTTCAACTATTGTAAATTCATTTAAATGAATTAATTTTTCAGAAATTATTAATATATATAATTGCGTGCCGATATGGTTGTCGGACTTTCAACGCAATCAAATCTGATTGATTCAAATATATTTTAAATATTATAATTTATAATTAAATATTTTTACATATATTCTATTTATTACAAAATTTTTAATTTACTATTAAAAATTTTTTATTTAATTTATATATAATTAAAATAAATTGTTTAATTAAATTAATGCGTTAAAAAAGGGAATTATTTATTCATAATTAATCAATTTAAAAGTTCAATGTAATTTAAAAGGTATATCTTTATTTCGATTTTAATTCCAATGTTTATATACTATATGTATAAACAGCTTTCTCTTACAATAAAATTAATAAATAATTTCAAAAAAATTTATGCACAAAAAATTTCGATGGCAATCAACGAATGGATCTTTAAGCACATGTGGTTGTTTACCTTGGTTAACTCATTAATCATATTAATCACACAACTGTTATTCATGTTTACACACAGTACTCGTACAGTCTCTCATAAAGTACTTAAAAGTAATGTAAATAAAACTAAAATGAAATAACATCTGAAGATAACTGAAATTGAAAAAAATAATATTATATAACGAAAGAGTAAAAATCAGAAGATAAAAATCAAGCAGGAATTTTACCAATGTACTTATAGGGTACTAGATAAAATTGGATCTTTTAAAGTTCTACTTTTTACATTTTACCTAATGACCCAATAAAATAGAATAATATTCTGTTAAATTTCTTCGTAGAAAAAAAAGGACAGATCCTTTGCAATAATTGTTGATAAATTCACGGGGAGAAATGAGAAAACGGGTCATCACTGGTACCACTACCTCCTCCATGGCCTCCTTTTGCCCCACTATGAACACAAGTTCCATTCCCTCTATCAGAATCGCTCTTGCGGGGAACGGACGGACAGGCGCCGTCATTCTAGCCAGTCGCGATACAAAGTTCATAGAGACAGCTCGTGTAATTCATATATTTATCAGGAATCAAAAATTCCATTTCCTTAGTCGAGCTAAGCTAGCCTCTAAGCCAACATCGCGACGAGGTCGAATATAGAAGGAAAAAGATCGACGCGCGTTCGATTTACGTTTTTTCTCCTATCGTTGGTCGTTCATATCAGCAACCACGAAGCTGCTCGAGGGCTCCACTACCGAGTGCGAGGTTGGGAGGGCCATGAAGACGTCCACGTTATGCAGTGACTTGATCAAACAGGAGGTGAGCGAGTGGTCGAACAGTGAATGATTAGAAGAAGCTTAAAGAGCAAAATGTGCATCCGTGTCTCTGCGTATGTTTGTTTGTGTGACATCGTGTACACTTGGATTAGAAGACGTTTGAGGAAAGCTCGGTAAAGCTCGGTATTTATTTAATATATTCCTACAATTTCCATAACATTTAAATGAGACTAGTTTAAAAATCGATCTTTATCATGCATTTCTTCGAGTTGCCTACATTTGGAATATATTGAGAGAAGATTAGGAGGGGGGGTGGGGAGAGAGAGAGAGAGATGTGTAGAGAACACGCTTGAAAGATTGACTGTAAAATTGAAGCCAAGGTTAGAAAGCAAGGTCGGAGAGAACATTAAAAGATGGCGAAAAGAGAGAAAAAGAGGAAGAGGCGATGTTTATGATTATTTAAAGACTATATAATTTCTTAATTATTACGTTATCAAAAGTGTAAGAGGCAAGAGCTCAAAAGATAGATTAGAAAAATAGGTTATTGGACCTGAATAATGGGATCCAAAAAATTAAAAAAAGTTAAGGGAAAAAAATTTTTTTAATTTGAAATACAGTGATGGATTAATAATAAAATAATTCTCGATTTTATGTCAAAGAAATTGCAATTAAAAGTGATAACAAAGTGCATAAAATTATTACAAGTATTTGAATATTAAGTAGAATGAATATTCAAAGTCATCGAAAATTTACGGAAACAGGATAAAAGGAATATCTGTGTGATCAATAAATCGATTTCCTTTTTCATTTTAATTTTGACTGCACGATTTATAAAGTGTTACAAACGATATTAATATAAACAAGATAAGCGAATAGATAAAAAAAATAAGATTGATAAATATTGAATTAAAAATAAAAAAAATGCAATATAGAGAAAAAAAACTTGATGGAGTATAAATTCTAAAAAAAATAAGACAAGTTATAAAAAATTCAAATTATATATATATATATATATATGAGAGATCTAACGATAATCGATGATAATATAATTTTATAATTTTATTGTTGAAAAATTTTATAGAAAAATTTTATAAAGACTTTTTAGAGCTAAACTCTTTCTTATATTTTGAAAAAAGTCAAATAAACAAATATTTCCGATCATAAATAATTAGAGAAATAAAACCAAGAATGAAACTTAATTGGGACAATTAAAAGTTGAGTAACATCAATTGAGCTCCGCAATGTTAGAAGAATATAACTTGAGAATTTTTTCCATTTCTTTTTTTTTTGAAAGATTGTAATGCAATCATTTTATTGTACTTGATAATCTTCTCCAAAAGCAGAAATAATCGTAAAAATGTAAAAAAAAAAAAATAAATATAAGAAATAATAAAAGTTTCAAGAAAATGAAAGTTTATTAAATGGCAGTTATAATCACATGCGCGCAAAGGGATGCTGTGTGATGGAATTGATCTCGCGTAAGAAACGCTCATCTCTCTCCTAAGTAAATGTCAACAATGTTGACGATGTCAACAGCGTAATAACGGAATCGTTTAATCATATTCGTTGAGAATCGTCATTTTGAATGTTATACTGTAACGTTTACGAATAATAAAGGAAATAGACCAAATTTAGTGCGTTGCTACTGCCGCTGCAATAAAACGCAATAAATAGAGTTCTATTAATGGGAAGAATGAAGATAATAATTTGATATTACGCATAAATTATCCGGCAAATGATCTAATTAAACTAGATAGCGTATAACTTACTTGAAAGGTGATGCTAAAAATAAAAATTAACTGACATTTGCTTTTTTCTTTAATTAACACACAACGCGGTATAAATACATAAATTAATAAGTTAATTACATAATACGTAGATTATGAAGTGGAAAGTGGATGATAGAATTAGGTTAGATTAGCGGGAAGATAAGAAATGGAATGCAGTTAAGGATTAATGTGTAGCTACGTGTGTTAGTATAGTGTCCGACGACGAGTTCGCAGTCACGAGGCAGTTCGCAAAGCGCGGTTCATTTGTTTTCTTCGTTTTTTTGCGAGCAGCTTTGAAAGCAGTTGAATCATGCAATTAGCTACGTAAACGAGACCACAAATGTAAATGAGAAAACATAAATAAGTATTATCGAGAGAAATCTCTGTTTGACCGTTGAACGCAGATGCCATTATTACCGTTGGATATCGTTGAGACACGCGGTGTACTTTAAAATGTGTCGACAGGCTGTACTTAATTTCATGCTATGTAATCAAATTTTATAATAATAAATGGATAATACATAAGTATGTCTAATATACGATATACTTTCTTAATTAATTTACAAATATATGTAAATATATATCTATAAATTAATAAAATTGTGTAACAGATATATGTATATATTATTTATTATTATAAAATTTATAAATATATATTCATACATATTTATATTTCTATTTATTACAAATTGTCAAACAATTTATACATTAGTTTTGGAATTATAGATTTTATTTCTGTTCGAAATCTATGATACATATATAGTATATCGTTATAAATTAAGATGAAAAAATTATGAATCCAAATTTGTGATACTTTCTGTCACGTGCATTAACCCATGTACTTTTGCATACGCTGCGTGTATACTTTACTATTGTTCATTCATGATGGATTCTATTGGTTAGCAGGCGGGTGTGTCAGTGACGTCACAAATCGATGTTTCATTACGCTCTCGGTGGGAGAAAGAACGTACCAAATTGGCGGGAAATATGATATCTTTTATCGTTTCAACTATCCTGCTTCCATTTAATTGAAAATATTTTCTATTTTTACTAACTGTCAAACAGGTATACTGAATTATAATTAAATTGATATTATTAAATCTGTGTAAACGTTACTTTCATCTTTATCTTTCTATTTATTTTTTTTATGTCTGCTTTAAGGCTTATATGCCTAAATGCATATGCTTTCGTGTTTGCAGAATCTGTTTATATTAGCTGCGTTACATTAAAACTTTCCACTCAAGATCAAGTTTTATTCTTTTTCTTTTTATCGCTTCGAACGTTAAGACTTGAAACCTTAAAAAAACCGAAGGTTTATAAAGAAACGTCATATTATTGACAAAAATTTTTTAACATATAAAGGTATATAGAAAATTTTTTTCTGTTCTGAAGGACTGAAGAATCATCTTTTTTCCTATAAAGAGTTAACACGTAGTTTAATAAGTATGTGATTTAAAAAAAAAAAAAAAAAAAAAAACCAACAACAAGGAAAACTCGACGAGGAAAACTTGAAATTTCGCTTGGAATTCATATAGGGCTGCGTGTTCGGAAACATCATTTCTCGGATGTCTCCTCGTGTATCATCGTATCCTTGTTTAACATTGAGTGTATAATAAGGATAAAACGATACACGGGAGTACTCGGGTGATATTTCGGAACGCAGCCTAGGAAGTACAATTTTGTCTGTATTTCTGTGCTGAATTTCTCACGGGTATGACGTCGGAGGTCAGAAATCAATAGCGAGAGGATCGATCGTCTCGCGTTCGAAATCTCTCGACGTTATATGCGCATCAGTGAGAGCGAGAACGTTATGCAATGCCCGTGTTCAGCGGTCGCGTTGCGTGGTGCGCGTGATGCCTAAGGACGATTCAAGGTCACCCAATGACACAACACCGCCATGCGGATCGATAACGAGTCTCATCGTTCGTTTTTCTGTCCGTAGATACGAGATGCCTGCAAGGATCTCGTCCTATCAGATGACCAGCTCCGGCTGGTCATGCAGAAGCTCACCGACGAGATCGACAAGGGTCTGTCGAGGGAAACTCACGACGACGCGATCGTCAAATGCTTCACCACCTATGTGCAAGATCTGCCGAATGGCACAGGTAAATAAGAAAGCATGGCTGCGTTCAGCATAGAAAGCAGCTTCGCAATTGTAAAATTTTAATACGGTTGGTCTTGTCCTTAATTTCTCATTGGATCTAAAATAATCCAAATGTATACACCAATCATATTAAAGAAGAATTTTACAACAGTTTCATATTTATATGGAATTCATGTATAAAAAGACGAAAAGAAGTGTTGCAGTATTGTTGCGCAGCTTTTTTTACTATATACAAAACTTGCGCACTGTGTGTAACGTTACAATTAAATCGTAAAGAGTTACAGGCCTCTAAGACGCAGTAAGTGTTGTCCGAAAGCTTGATGTTAAAATCGAATGTAAAAATTCATCAAACACGCATATAATTATATTTTAGTAAGATTCGTTTATGATTATTGACATCTATGTAGATTTTTAGGATATTTTTATAAGCTTGAAGAAATTATATGCTAAAGAAAAAGAAACAGATTATAGAAAGATACAAGTCATTAAACCATGCGTTGTTTCTCTATCCTTAAATTCATAAAGATATAAATTCAGAAGATTAATTTAAGATTCATTTAGATGTATTGAAACGTGGGAAAATAGAAAAGCTTTATTTATAGAAAAACGATGCTATATAAAATATCAATAAGAAGGAATTAAATAAAAATTGCTTAGATCTTGAAAGAAAGTTGCAGTTAATTCCATTTTTTTTTTTTTTTTTTTTTTTTTCTTTACAGAAAAGGGCAACTTCCTGGCGTTGGATCTGGGCGGTACGAATTTTAGAGTGTTGATAATCACATTGGACCGTCAGAATTTCGATATGAAAAGCAAGATCTACGCGATACCCCAGAGTTTGATGCTGGGAACCGGTACTCAGCTGTTCGATCACATTGCTCAGTGTTTGGCGTTATTCGTAAAGGACCTGAACTTGCAGAACGAGGTACTACCATTAGGCTTCACCTTCAGTTTTCCCCTGTCTCAATACGGATTGACGGAAGGCCACCTGGTGAGGTGGACCAAGGGCTTCAATTGTAGCGGCGTAATCGGTGAAGATGTCGTTGCCCTTCTCGAAGACGCAATTAGTAGAAGAAAAGTAAGTGCGAGTTGCGTATGAATGAGATATTTTATTTTATATCCAGATACATATATCTGTATGTAATAAAGAGTATACGTTAAATTTTTCAATCTAATTTGTTTGTTATTTTATTAATCATTATAAGAGTTTGAAAGTTAATATTCATGTTCTACAAAAATGTTATAAAAACTTAATTTAAAAAAAAAAGATATGAATATAATTATCTTATATTTCCCATAGGACGTTAAAATCGATGTATGTGCGATCTTAAACGACACCACCGGCACTTTAATGTCATGTGCTTGGAAAAATCGAAATTGTCGAATCGGTTTAATCGTCGGTACGTACATAACATTAATTTTTTAACTAAAACGAATTTTGTTATAATAGATTACCGTAATGTATAAATATCATTAAATTAATTTATATTTAAAAATAAATTTGAACTCGAATAAATTTGCAAACTTAAATGTTAAACCACGTAATAAAAAAAGGTAACATTGCCGAACAAAATTAAATTCTTAGTAAATATATTATAAGTTTTATCACTATTCTCAAATAAAATTATTATAAAATATAAATTTTATCTTTATAAATTTGAATGCATAAAGTATTACAATTACAGGTACTGGAAGCAACGCCTGCTACGTCGAAAAAACAAAAAACGTACAATGTGCGATTCCAGGCAACTATAGCCCAGGCAAGCCTGATATGCTCATAAACACAGAATGGGGCGCATTTGGCGAACAAGGTGTGCTAGATTTTGTGATAACCGAATTTGATCGTGCCATAGATGAAAATTCTATCAATCCCAATAAGCAGCTGTTTGAGAAAATGATCTCGGGCATGTATATGGGTGAACTAACGAGGCTGGTTCTTGAGAAGTTGGTGAACGCCGGCCTTCTCTTTGGTGGCAAATGTCCCAATGATCTCAGAAAACGCGGCAAATTTTTCACGAAATACGTCTCGGAGATCGAAAAGTAAGTGTCAATTGATATTAATTGCATATTATAATTAAAGATTTCTTCAGATTTACCACAAGCGCTAAATTGGCTTACATTGGATGGAGATCTCTCTCTAATCTTTGCTTTATCTAGAAAAATTAATTGAAAGCATTACTTATCGATGATTAAGGATTATGAAATATGGACTAAAATTATTCGTTCCATGTGACTAATTAAGGATTAAGCTATGAAAAATCCAGGAGTTAACTAAAAATATATTTGCGTGTTTTTAGCGATCCTAAAGGTAGATATACAAATTGCCGGGATGTATTAGCCGAGCTAGGAATGCGGAATGTGAGTGATCAAGATTGTGAGAATGTGAGATATGTGTGCTCGGTGGTGTCGAGGAGAGCTGCGCATCTGGTGAGCGCGGGAATAGCAGCGTTGCTAAACAAAATAGAGGAGAATAATGTCACAGTGGGCATTGACGGATCGGTATACCGATTCCACCCACACTTCCACGATCTCATGACAGCGAAAATCAGCGAACTTCAAAACTACAAGGTAAGCATAATAATGGAGTGGAAAATGAAGAAACTATTATGAATATATTTTTGATTATTATCTTAAAAAAAATGCATTCGTTTTCCAAAGTAAAAATTTAAGTAAAATTGAAGCTTAAGATTTTTATTTAAAAGCTATTAGAATATGTAATGAATGGAAATATTACGTTTATTCAAAGAAACAAATTCTTTTGGATGAGACAGCGAAACCCAACACTATATCATAACGAACAGAATAATTTTTATTCCCTGATTTCATTGACTTCTTTGTTACAGTTTGACTTGATGCTCTCGGAGGATGGTAGCGGCCGCGGCGCTGCCCTAGTCGCTGCAGTGGCGTCGCAGAGGCGGTGAAGACGCGGTTGTCGGTAGCGAGTTAGCTGCAATTCAATTATGTGTAATATAAAATCGAACGACGGTATGAGAGAGCTGACTAGAGTGAACGAGTGAACGGAAGTGAAAGCGATCGAGTATGGAAAAGAAATTTGGTATCTTTTTTTCTTTTGTTCGTTTCAGCTGCACTTTTTACACTCGCTGTCTTCTTCCTTCTTTTAAGACCGTTTTAAATCATTCTTCAGGCTTCTTCAAAGCCTGGATAGTTTAGTTAGACAGTTAGAAAAAGGATCCATATAGATGTAATCAAGTATCGAAAATTAGATTATGAGTTCGTTTTTGATAAAAGAAAGATATTGAAGTGACATGCTCTAGCACGCATGTTACCTGCCTTGTTTTGAAAATTTGTAAAAAGAGTAATTGTAAGAGAGTGCAGTTTAAAAGAAATGAACAGAATCCAAAAAAAAAACAAAAAAAATTGCGCGATGAATATTTCTTGTACATAGAGCACAAAAAACAGTAACTTACAATTAGCGGATTAGAAGATGGTGACTACTTAGTTAATGTTCTTGCCAGAAAACCAAGAGCATCCTTCCTGTGGCGATCCAGTACGACGATCGCTATTTAGCGTGATTCGCACATCCACTCGTTAGCGTAAATGATTAATTTCGCGACTTTGCGAGGAAACATTAGTGAGAGAGAGTTAAATATATTTAAATAAAATGAGAAAATTGCCGGATATAGTAAACCGGTAAGAAGAAATATCGAGTGGCCGTGTCAATTGTTGATTGTTAATAAAAATATTGATGAGTGTAAAGAAATTAAATTGAGAATAAATAGATCATAGCGATTGTCAGAACAAAGATTGATTAGAGAATAAACACAGTTTTTCATCGATATTTAAGTACTATTTCAGTTAATCCTTTCATTTTATTACATCATGTCCCCAAATCGTCGAATATTATTTTCGTTTTAAATTTTCCATCAATTTAAAAACTATTACTACTTAAGGAAAATATCTTGAGCTGCCTTTATGGTTTATTAGTAGTTGAAGATAAAATATTTACGGACTTCATAAGGGAAAAAAAGAAACAAAATAGATCGCGACATTATTTTCAATTAATTTTAAATAAATTTAAATGGGATTTTATCTTCAAGCTTAGCTGGAACGATACATAGAATTGGAAACCTTAATATCGGAAATCTGGAATTATATCATTAAAAAATTTATTTTTTTAAAATAAAAATTGAATTTATTCGATCCTATATTAGCAGCTTTTATTTAGTTACCTTGTATATATGATATTATTAAGTTATTAGATATCTCTGACGATTGCATGGAAGATAAAACATTCGAGGAATTTTATCAGCTTTATTAATCGAGTATATCTCCTTATCATTATCGCGATAAGGCCTAATAGGGAGATAAATGATAAGGCTCGCGAAGTTTCGTTGGTTTTTTAGTGCGCTTGTTTTCGACAACACCGTGTACATTTCGGGGAATTCTGAAATTTAAAAATTACACAATTCTTACAAATTTCACGAGTTTTTTTTTCCGTCGCCATGTTGCGACGATTGCGAGCACTTAAGTTGGTGAGTTGGTCTCATACCGGAGTACAATTAAGTCAAAAGTTAATAAAGTGATACAAATTAAAGTGCGAATGATTTTCTTGCTTAATATTTCCAATTTTATATCCTCGGTTTTAACGAAGATAAAATTGTATTAATCAATAGATTTACAAGTAGCACTACTACACACACGAGCAAAAAGATATTATTTCATTATCCGTAAGATTACATAGAGAACAGAAGTTTTTAGAGAGGACATTTGAAAAATATTTTCCTTTTCTGGAAAGAAGAAGATAAGAAATAAAATGTAAAATGTGTGTACAACGATATTTTAAGAGAACTATTTCTCTTTACTGCCGTCATTGGAAAATTATTTCTGGAAACAGAAATGCGGATGAGGGAGGAAAAGCGAGTGACAGCGAGAGTGAGTGAGCGAATACATGATCGCTCTCCAAGCGATGACTTTTTTTACATGTAAAACGTTATTAATGTTGTTATGTACACGTTGCTGTTGAGAATAAATAATCATGCAAATAAAGAGATATTTCTTTTTTCATTGCTATTTAATTACTGCGTAAAACAGCGAAATAAAAAGTTGCGTTTCAAAAAAATTAATTGTGTGTGTGTGCATAAACGCAAAGATTTTTTTCTCTTAAACATTACGTTCAGGTTTCGATCACGCCGAATAATGAATTCACATTTCGTTAAAGAAGATGGACCATCCTAGACAATTCGCAATGTCTAAATTATCTAGAAGACACATTTTATGATGTCTTTTAAATACCTATCTTATATAGGCTTTCTACATTAACCCGTTAGCTAAGCTTTAAAGAAATTGATCGGTTGAATATAAGAAGAATAATAGACTATACGGGGTATTCATCGAGGTATTCATAGATCGTTCTTATTTTAAGACTGTTTTAAGTAATATTTTAAGGTGCTAACATGGCTCTTTTTGGCCAGTATTCAGCTCTTATATACTTGTGTAAGACCTTATAAGGTACAGTTTTAAGGTACTACAAACCAATCAGAGGACCATATTAGCATCTTACTCCAAGAACATCTCTAAGAACTCGAGACTATCTTGAAATGTGAGAACAAACTGTGAATACCAGCCTCGGATTGATTCACGATATCTTAAAACTGTACTCAAGATGATCTTAAATATAAGAATCGACTATTAAATCATTTTCCGGCCTTATTGGTCAATTTCTTACAGCTAAGACTTATAAAGCCTTAGGTAATGGCTTATCGTAGAAAGCCCATTAGACATTCATATTCCAAAAGACTTCTTTGGATGGTATTCGATATGTTCATAATCGATTATTATATTTAAAACTATCTTAAGAATTAGTAAACAGTCTTAAAATGTTAATAAGCCAATCGGAAGGCGATTGTATTAGCGTTTTAAGACATTATTTCAGATGATTTTAGAAGGAAAAGAACGGATTAAGAATATCGCCCTTTATGTCTTTCAGCATGTTGTCTGAAACGAAGGAATCGAACCCACGACCTTCGTCGGCTAAGCAGTCATTTGGCAACACGCGACATTTAGCAACAACTGAGCTAATGACCCTCTTCGATCGCCTACTCTCCAGAGCTTTCAGAATGAATTTCATTTTGTGAAGAGTGAAATCTTATTTTTAAAGATTGAAAATTGAACCACATACTTTTTTTCAAGACGTTTAATTTTAATTCTTTAGAATGAGATATTTCATTCTGAAGAATTTAAGAGAGAGTGTGTGTTTTGTGAGATTTATTATTTTTAGTATAATTTTGCGATTTATCTACGAAAAAATGTAAACGCAACGAGTACCGTCAACGCGTTCAATCGTACATACCGGTACATACCGGTACATACCGTCGCGACATTCCGCACCACGGGATCACGCACGTTTGATCGTTGGTTTACGACGCCGGGTCAGCCGGGTGTACTTTCCGCACAGGCGCACATGTGATCCTGTTGGTGTCGCCACCTGTTGGTGCACCTTCGATCGTCCGGCATCGTGGGGGGGGCGACCAACCTGGACTCGGACACGTCAAACGGTCAAAGTCGCGCAACGCAAAGCCGTGCAGAGCCGCTGCTGTGGCCGCTGTCGGCTGTAGCTGAAAAAATTTGTTTCGCCGCACGATGAGGCGCGACTGGACAACGCTACGCGGGAATGTCTCGCGAGTACGCGGATGAGAATAAGGGTTGTGCGCGAGTGTATCCCTGTGAGAGAGTTAACATGATCAGCGGCATTCAGATCGCCCTGAAGAATGCCATTGACGTGGTGAGTAAATAATCAGTCGGCGGCGACGACGACGACG